ATCCGGCAAAAATTCTACAGAAACCTTCTTTTTAAGGTAAAAAAGGCTATGAAAACGCAAATTCTCGGTTTCGCTGAGATAAGCTAAAGATATTATCCCCTATATTTGCTTTATTAACAATCGTTCCGATATAGTCAGGATAATAACATCCAGGGCGAAGCCCGGATGACGTCTGTTTTTTTCCATGTGAAGGTTATGTCCCCTCATAGCCTTCAAAGTGAAGGTTACCAGAGTACGGGGCTCTATGTATCGAGGGTATGCTGTTTATCTTCTTCTTGATAATCACCTTCCAAACTTCCTATTTAAAACAATCAAGTAGAAGAAATTCTTCTGCTCGTTTTGCCCGTGTTGTGGATGCCTTGTTGCTGAAGCGAAAATCTGAACTTCAAAACGCCGCTAAATAAAAGATTTCAAACCCGTTGCAGCGTTTTTATCCGGTTTTCACGAGTTTCCTTTGCTTTTGATATATTAGGTCGTTCTGAAAGTAATGTCGCTCTTTTCAAGTGAACGCTACATAACGTGGAAGCAAGTTTTCTAGGAGATCTTGGTAGCATTCGATGCATCATTTCATCCTCTTTCTAGTGGCTATAATTCCGCTGCAGAATACTCAATGGGCTTTTGAAAAATTACTAAAATCTTCAACGCATGCTTTTTGAAGGTCAAGTTTCACAATTTTTCTAACCCTTTGTAATAACTCACGGAAGGAGTCCAAGTAATTGATGGATAGAGCAAACCCTATAGAAAATGGTACCATTTTTTTCTACTTTCCGTATTTCATCATAATTTTTGTAGAGATATTTCAATGAAGTCACCGAATTTTTGCAGGCTGGTCTCAAACACATATGCATCAAAAGCCAATAAACTTTCGGATTCTGAAACGTATAAAAGTGGATTATGGTTTAGCACCAATTTTACAAAGCATATGAGCAATTATCGCTTCACATTAGCAACTTTCGGGAATTTCGGGTACAGCCTGGGCGCCCTGGAAAACGTGAATTATGATGATTTTTCCCTGGCAGACTCTATGAATTGGAAACCAAAAACAACTGGTAAAAAGAGGAGAAGAAGCTGCGTCTAATGACACCCAAGTTGCTTGCCGGTTGTTGTTCTGTGAGGTTTGAGTTGACCAAATATGGAACTTGATAGCACTGAAAAATTGATTCTACAAACTCTAAGAAGCAAACTAAGGGAAAGAAAAAATTGTTTTGTGGCCTATAGGTTTTGCTCTATTTATCTGTTATTTGTACATCTTCGGGGAATCAGTACAAAAATACAGAAAAGTAACCGAGCTTGACCATGGCAAAAAGCATGAGTCGCAGCTTTTGGTAATTTTTTGAGAATTCATTAAATATTATGCAATGAAATCACAACCGTTAGAAAGAGGACGAAATGCTGCATCGACTTAACCCAAGAGCTCTTGAAAACCTTGGTTCCACGAAGTGTGGCGTTCATTTGAAAAATGCGACATTACTTTCGGAACGACCCAATATGTTTTGCATCTTTTTTCGCTGGTTTTCTATAAACAATCTTCACTTTTTATGAGGGGCAGATATTTAAACGACCTTCACTTCTGATGCCATGTCCCTAGACTACCGAAGCTATGTTTGACAAGCAGATTGACATGAATCTCTGATCCACATGAATTTCCGAATTCTTTGACGATGTTGGGTCCGTGATTGTCTTTTCTGAATGTTGCAAGTTCGTTTGGCTCAAAATTCTGCAAGCCATGGACTCCCATTTTCGACTTCGTAGAGGAATTGATTGCGTAGTTAGTGTTCATCAGATTTTATCTGAGAATTTTGAAGAATTTTTCTCAGAGTTGTGGCCTGCGGTGGTAGTCCTACGGCGATTATCAAGGCATAACACATTTAGCAAGTATTTTGGACTTGCAGTTCTTCTGCAAAAAAGTTCTCTCTCCAAATGTTAGGTTGTAAAGAAAGTTTCCGGGCACTTTTGGAAACTTAATTTTTAAACGCATATACCAAGTTTTTTATACTGTCCAGTAGAAGGAAGCTTAAAGTTTTCAATACGGCTTCTGATTTTTATCGATGCCAAGGCGTGTTTGATCTGCACATCAAAAAGAAAAATCTTTCCGAACGTAATATTTTCACAATTTTTCTTTCTACGGGCATTTTTTGAGCAACTCAAAAAATTTCGTCCAAATTATGGGTGATCAGATTAAGAAGCCTCTTAACTTCTGATGCACAGCTACACTCGAGTTTTGCGATTTGCGCTCAGAATACAAGCTGTCAAACTTGCCTCTAACTGCAACTCTTTTCGCAACTGGCGTCACTTCTGCGGGGATCGCCACGCTTGGAGATGGGTCCAAAAGATGTGTAAAGCATTGCCCCAATAATGTTCGCAGTAATCAAAGATTTGGTCCACTCTATGCAAAACGACAAGACTTCAAAAACACCTACTCGAATGGTGCATTTTCAAGGGCAAATAGTCAATTTTCAAACTTTCTAGAAAAAATTTTTTGCAAGTAGTCCTGCAAAACATGAATGGTCTCCATAACAGCCCCAGCAAACTTCTATATAACCACAGCATCTGAGCTCTCCAGCTCCATAATGCCTGAGATAATCATGCACAAACAGGCCACTTTTCGCGACGACCTTTTTCCTTTCTGCGCATGCTGGTGGACCGCAGTGAGGTGCTGAAAGTCCAGCAAGACAAATATATGTTGTGGACGAAATTGTCTTTGCAATGAAATTTGTAGCTTTGAAAAGAATCATTCTGCTTAAGGTTACAGCAATTTGAAAAAAAATTTTCGCAAGTGCCCGGGAACTTTCTTTACAACCTAATACATATTACCGATCTTACTTGGAGAAAATCCCAAAATGAAAAGTTGATTGTAACTCACCTGTGATGGTAACGTTGCGCGGTGAGTTTTAAAGCCATCATCATGCAGATAGGAGCAAGGTACAGGCGCGTTAAAATCCAAGTGCCCTCGCGTCGCTTTGAACACCAACGCGCGGGCCGGCTGGAGACGTTGAGTTTCGAAGCGCTACAGATGAAAATGAGCGTGCACCTGTTTCGCGCATACTATTTCAAACTTATGAAAGGAGTTTTTGTGAAAACATGCTTTGCAATTCTGAAAACAATATGGAAACTGACAGGAAGTAATGCGCTTGCTTCAATACGCTGATTCCGAAAATCCACTTTTGAGAGCTTGAAAACGAAAACGAGCGTTTTTCAACGCCCTTCCCTCTGGAATTGGAAGAGTGCAACAGGGCTGATGACGCTGAATTGTTGTAAGACCCAATGGTTATAGCATTGCAGCGGGCAGCCTCCAATGGTGAGAAGGAAATTGCCAACTCGTCCGGATGCGTGTAAGAATGGCCTACGCGTGTAAGCTTGAGAGCAATCTTCTCGGCAAGCAGGGCATGCTGTGCAACCGAGATTGCACTGTTTTCATGCTTCGGCAATAAGGAGTCTACCGCGTTAAAATTTTGAGTTGTTGAGTTTTGCCGGCCCACTGCCTTTGAGCTGGTGTTCAGGGCAAGGTGCGGGCAAACAGATTTTACAAGGCCTATAGATGAATACTGAAATCAGATAAAATGGCTTTGATGTTATTAGCCGAATGCTCGATAGTAGAGGAAACATTTGGTGCATTATGTACAATACAAACCACTGGTTCTACCATTGTATTATCCTTTACGCAGTCTCACATAATGATGGCTCCAAACTCTGCCCGCAATGCTGACTATCAGGAATGAATCGTAAGCAACTTTTCACTCCAAAAGTTTTTTCATATGAAGTCGGTAGTTTTGAGTGGAACAAATTTTTCGCAGAAAAAGAAATGATTTGAATCAATTCTTGGATTTTTTTATGCGATGGTTGCCATAAGGACACTTATTAACGTGGATTGCATTTCTATGCGAAAATTTCTTTTGATGTACTCGCAAATTGACCGTTCACGCAATCAACTCTTTATGGCGCCGTTTTCGTAAGCTGATAGATTTTAATTACTTCGAGCGAAAGTCCATGGCCTGCGCATTAACTTGTCAAACTCATGACTTTGCAGTGGTGCGACGGACGCAATTCTGCTAGCCAGAAGAAAATTGATTTCTGTGGTGTTAGCAGGTGGTATTTGGGCTCAAAACTTTGGCTAGAACACGTTCTACGAATTCCGTAACGGGCAGAAAACATACAAAAACACGTAAACAACTTTAACGCGTTATTGTAGGCTATAATAGATTGATAGGAAGCAGTCAAAGCTCTACTATTGAATTTGTGACAAGCGCAAATAACATGAAGACATCCTTTGAAAGAAAAAATGGTAAGAAAGTCTTTATGATATGTGTGACTGCGAATAAAGTTCGTTTCGCTTGTCAGATGGCCCAATAGGATGATATAAACTGCAGCAAAATCTTCTGTCCACGTACATTTAGATAACATATTTCCACTATACTTCTGCTCTGCATTCCTACAATACGTCCACTCCTTCGGGCGTTTCCAAGACATTGTTTCAATGCGACGGACACGCTAAATAGAGATAGCTGATAAGATTAAATGCGAATAGATTGCGGAGCGAGTGACATCAATGTCTCACGTATTGCTTTCTTGGTCTATAATGCCCGATACTCATGCGAAATTGCAGAACTTGCATTGCTAATTATGCCCTTAATCACAACTCATTCTTAGTTTCCTGATTTGGCTCAAATGGTCTAAGTATGGATCTTCAAGATGGTAGTGTAATGATTGCAATGCGGTATCTTAAAATACCACTTCTTACCATTTCTTACTTCTACTAGTCTTGATCAGTGAGGTCCAAGCACCAATAATCCGCTTACGATTCACGCAAAATACTGTAAACTCAAGTCAAACCACAATTCTTAGATCCTAAATAATTTGAATAAACAAATTCAAAAATCACTTGTCTGCATATATTGGTTGTGAGCAGTCAATTTCGCGACGATTCTTTGCCACAAACATAATAAGACGATGAGAACTCGAATTTTTTTATTTACGACTTTGATCTTCCAACCAATTTCCAGGCGAACATCGGCAGCAACGGGTTCAACATTTGGCTCCAATTCTAATAGTATGAGCTCCCTGACGGCAATGCAACCATCTGCTTATGATCCGTACACTGGCAACGGTTCGTCGCCATCGGCAATGTCCTACGCAACAGGAACGATCTCGCCAATTCGCGATCGCAGCAGATCACCGGCACCTCACGTTCACTTTGCTGATGCTATAGAGACGACTTATGGTGTTTCTTCGCTTTCTTCGAGACGCTCGGCAAGTGATTAAGATATAAAAAAAACAGTAAGTGCAAGCCAAACATTGTAAATGTCCAGCCCCTTAATCTTGAGATACTGACAATTACAAATTATTTTTCCAATGAGCTAGGATTATTCTAAGAATTTTTCGTCAACTTGTCTTTGAAGTTTCCCGGATAATTATTTTTGGAGAAGTTTAAAATCATTTTTGCATGGCAGCTAGAGCTGACCAACCGTTATATCTTATTGAAAGTCTAATCATATGTTTCACCCTACTATCGACAGTGAATTGGCCTTTTATTTAAACTAAGGCCGCATGTGGATACATGCCATTGCTTGTACTTTCCCGTTATCACCCAGCCTTTTTTTAAAGAATTGTCTTCTCCTCTCTCCAAGCCACTGTCCTTTTGAATATTGCCAATGAGACTGTCAGATTAGGCCACTTCGATAGAATAGTAGAATGCCATGTGTCATCATGTTCACAGACACATCGACCGATAATGAATTGAGGAAACATATACCTTACTTTAACGCTCGATTTCGATGGACTCATATATCGATATTGCTTAGTCAGTTACATCGACCTAGGCGTTTATTCACTCATCGCTTCCATATGATCGCCTTTGTCGAGTAAACAAAGTGGAGAACATTGAGAATTACGCTCCCAAAGATCTCAGCGCACGCTTAGCCATTCTTGAAAGTTGCAACTCCCGTCAAGACGTAACTATAAGCTTACTAACGCTTTCAATCTGAGCAAGGCCCTGCCGTTGGCTATGCGCTTGAAGGCGCCGTCCACCTAGATTTTCGACTTCCATGTTTTTGTCGTTTCAGGGCCTTCTCATGCCCCCGATTCCGAATATGAAGTCGAGAATGCGAGAACCTCGATAATCCCCGTTCCGGAAAATCCATAGTCCGACTTTCCGGAACGGTGATTGGATGGACGCGCACAAGTGGGTGGGCATGGATAGGGGAGGGTGGGCATGGATGGGGATCTTAGTGCATCTCCGCTATTCGGAAGCGATTTTCTCGCTTCTGAAGCGGCATTTTGCGCCGCGACTTGGGCTTGGATTTATAGGGGGCCCTACCATTATATGCTGCCAAATGCTCAACACCCTCAACTTAGGCTGAACGATGCCTTTAAAGGCAGTGTCCGGGCAAAAACTCGATTTTGAGATTTTGTGCTTACACGGGCCTATTCGCTATGCTGAATCCGAAAATCCACATTGGAAAGCGCAAAAACAGCGAAAAAGGGCTCTAATATAGGAGGGAAATCAGCAAGTGGGCGGGGCTTTTCCCAGTGTGATTTCACGCTCCCAGCTCACGGAGCGATTTTCTCGATTCCGCTAGCCGTTCTAACATCGCTACCGGCCAAATGCGAATGATTGACTTGAAACCGGAAGCGAGAAGGTCGCTTCGGAAGCCGGGAACGTGAATTCGCAGTGGGGAGGACCCCGCCCACCTGCTCATTTCCCTCCTGTGTTAGAGCAGTTTTTCGCCATTTTCGCGCTCTACAATGTGCATTTTCGGATTCAGCGTAGCGAATAGGCCCAAGTCAGCACAAAATCTCAAAATCGAGTTTTTGCCCGGACACTGCCTTTAACAATAGACCGAGCTCTTAGATGGTTCTGATACTATGAACTAAAGACAAGCTCTAGTTTTATTTTCATGAAACGAAAATCAAAGGAATATTATCCGTCTAACACTGTAAAGATATAGTCGAAGGTCTTTTTAGACGGGATGTCTACAGTATTGAAGAGCATGAAATGCTGATCTCCAGATCTGCCTTACTTATCTGCGGAACGTCTATGAGTGAGGAGTTATGGGCGCTTATTGGAGCAAAACATTAAATGCAAGTAGGACGAAAATAGCCGTAATATTTCTTCTAGCTTTTCAATGAAGCAGTGACAATTATCAGATTATTCAAAAAATGCTCTATAATTAAAAAAAATACACTTGGTTGCATTATTTGAGGGCTAGTAGGAATTTACAACTCATTTTATCCATAAAGCACATTCAATTTTTGTCTCCAAAAACGCTCATAACTTCTCGTCCATAAAGGTTCTGCAGATAAGGAAGGCAGGTGAAGAATTAGCACTTTATGCTCTTTCATATGATATACATATCAGTAGAAAGGCCACTTCGACTAAATAAGCTTCCTGTAAGTCATCAGTAGTGAGGGAAGATGGTATGTTTCAAAGGAAGTTGAGTGAAAAGCAAACTAACCTTAAATAGACTATTCATTCATCTCACAAGTGAAAATTCTGAAAAGACCGCATTTTTGTAAATAGTATACTCTAGGAAGAAAACTATTACCTGCAGTTAGAAAGAGTTGAAATGTAAAGTAATGAGCTTATACGGAATGGGAACATTTCAGAGTGAGACTCGCATGTACATACTGATCGCACAAGACCGATATTGTTCCTAGAGCGTAGTACTTACAGTGATATTGAAGATAGTTGTTTTTGTTTGTGTTGAAAAGCTGTGCTGAAATTTGCATAACTCCAGTAATCTCGCGAGCTTTGTAGTCATGACGAAGCACTTCTCCTTAAGCCCCGGATAGACTTCACGCGATTTGATCGTCGCGACTGAATCGCAACGAGACAACTGTTACAACATCATTCCATGCCGATCAATTTGCATTTTATGATACTTTTCCAGCCCGAAATTTTTGAATGTGAAATGAAAATGAATGGAAATGTTGGCGATTGAGTCAAGACGATCAAATCGCGTGAAGTCTGTCCGGTGCCTTACCCTCAACCTTCACAATTCAAGTTTCTGATCCTGACACATATATTCTCATCTCTCATCCAAAGTCTCGCCTATTGTTAAGTAGTTCACTAGCTGTGGACATAAACTTCATCTGCCAACAAAAGCAGCATTCTTGCCAGGCCTTGTCGGGAGTTTCTTATCAAATTCTAGACCTTTTCGGAAAGTGATGAGATGTTTGAAAGTAAATTATCAAAGTTCGTTACATGGTAGCTTTGATAAAGCGAATATATACTAATACATAATATAATACAGGGTGCCTTGAAAAATGTGCACTTTGTTTGTCGTTGATAAGACCATTGCTTTAATATCTTTCGTGATGGGCGCCTTTCTGTATAGTTTACTTCAACGTAGATTTACAACTCAGTGTGAAGTACCAATCGCTTTTCATTACTGTAGGATTAGTAGAAACTTTTCTTACAACACCATTGTGAAATGGCTGTTTGCATTGCAAAATTCCCGAAAAATCTGGAAAATTATTTAGAAGGGTGCTCACGTATGCCTATATCACTACAACTTCTGACAAGTCTGATTTTTTTGTGGTGCACTCATATCTCGGCAAAACAATGGGAAAGCAGTTGCTACAGTTTTCCTAAAATAGCTTATGGAAGAAGCATAGTAAAGTGCAAGTTTCATACCTGGAATCAGAGAATTTGATAGTAAAGCATTAGGTTGTTACATGGGTCTTGTTACACTTTAACTTCTTACGACGATTATTCGTAAAATTCATAATTTTATTAGGGCTCCAGGGGACCATTCGACAGAGCAAAGCAAGCTTTACAAGATGGTGTGCAAGTGTTCGCACAATCTTTGCCCCCACCGTAAGTTTGCATCCAGAAGTTGCACTGAATGCTCAAAAAATTAGGAAAAATTCATATCTTTGCTCAAAAAATCCTACGGATTTCCAACTTGTTCACAGATTGCAAACCACATCATACACTCATCTGTACCGTTGTTGATTATGTTCTCATCTAGAAATAGAAAAAACGAGATTTTTCTAGTTTTTACAGAAACGAAGCTAGCTGTTTCCACTCATGTAATCGTTAACCACAAGCCCTCAGTAGTATAGCCGTAAATTATCAGCTTTCCACAAGCCCTAGTTTTCGAAAAATATCGAATGCATTGAACACCCGAATGAGAAAAGCTAAATTCGGTATTTTTCGAATACTAGAGCTTATGGAAAGCTGAAAATCTACGGCTATACCACTAAGGGCTTATAGTATACAGCTACGTACACAACTACGTATACAATTACATGAATTGAACAGCATAGCTTCGTTTGCAACGGTACATATGAGTGTCTGATCTGGTATGCAATCTGTGTGAGCATGTTGGAAATTCGTAGGTTTTGCAAGAAGATATGGATTTCCTCCAATTTTTGAGCCTTCAGTACGACTCAGATTCCAAATGCAAACTTACGGTGGGTCGAAGCTTGCGAACTTCTGCGTGCCATCTTGTAGTACTTGCTGTGCTCTATCGAATGGTAACCTTGAGCCCTATTGAATTTATGAAGTGTCTGACTTATCTTCGTAAGAACTTAAAGTGTAAGACTTATGTAACAACCTAATATAAGATTTATAGCTTGTCTAGTTTTCTTTCTGGTCCGAAAATACGAGTCCCAATGACTTGGAACCCACTGCAAAATTTCTACCCTAAATCGACACTAGTAGAGAATGATCGAAGATTGGCTCCATAATTTAGATCTAAGTTGAAGCTGGCTCTGTAGAATGACATCTAAGGATTGGCAGAAGGCTTTAAGCCAGGAAGTTATTGACGATCAAACACTGTGCACTTTTTTGGGACACCGTGCAAATTTTTTGGTGTGGCTGGCTTAAATTAAACATGTTATTAAAACGACGTAATTCATTAGTGTCAGCTTGGAAACCAAGAATACGCCTTCATTCTCCTTTTTAATGTTTACGAGTAGACCAGAATAAGGTTCAAATTGAAATGATTAAACCATAAAAATTTCAGAGGATGTGGTTTTAATTAGTAATTTTCAAAAGAAACTGAAATGAACGGAAGCTGAATTGCGCTGCCTTTGGTAACTGCACAAGTAAAGCTATGTGGTAGCTTTTGAAAAAAATGGTAACAGTGGCCGTATTATTAACAACTCAGTGGGTAAGCAAAAGCAATACTACTGGGTTGGATCGATATTCACAAGAAGCACTTTGGGTTTGCGAACCCACTAAATTTGTGACTACGATCTCGTGGGTTAAGCCTATCCACTGGTTCGCTGATGATTACTGCCACAGAAGTGTTGTAATACTTTCTTATGGTCATTCTTATCGCAACCATTTCGCCTAATCTTGTCGATAGTTTTGTTTATTCGTCGTGATTTGATAAGGGATTGCCGTGGCTCTCACTTCATTACATTTGCTATCATTTTGTATAACAAGATGCGCTTGCTATCAAAGGGAGGCAACAATGCAATGTACATAGCTTCACAATGACTTAGAGCACAATCTGCGCAGGTTTCGCAAACACTCACTTCAGAGGCATTACAATCTCGCTGAAGAGAGATGCAAAGAGTCCTTTCAGTGTAAGAAAAATCTTACCCTTTAAAGAATACAGAAAAATTTTACCCAAGAAGAGTACATGTTATAATGATGATCTATCGATTTTTGGAGCAGACAATGTAAAAGTACCTTGTACCACGTATGGTCAGCACAAACCTAGAACTTCAGAACTTCACCGATCCTCCGAAGATCCGGCAGCTTTTTATGAGTAGCACATTCGTTCAAGATGTAGAGGACACAGAGTGGACTACGGCGAGCACTACTCCCAAAATAGAGGCATCACTGAAAGTCGGAGGTGTAGACTGGTAAGCAATATTATCATCCTGTTCACATTGTTGTAAATGTTACTCACTTATCTATATCCAACAGGGACGTGTAAATCAATCATGCGCTGCTATGTTAGTTGAGATAAAGCCCATCTCCGCAGTTGAAAAATCAGTTCCGTTGCCCTACGCGCAAAGTGATTGGCACTAGAGCAATTCATGAGTAAACACAGATATAGTAACCGAACTTCGTATCATCCTCATTCGTCTCTAGCAGCCAATGAGTAATCGAACACAGTAGTGGTAAGCTAGCGCGGCGATGCAAACGCTCGCAACGTCGCTTTGCTCCGATCTCCCAAAAAAGACAGTGTATATCAACGATGTCTACCGTTCTGGTTAATTTCTTTAGTAGGGTCCAAGATTGGTACAGATATTTATTCCACAACATTATGACTGACCTTTCGGCAATTGCCTTCTCCGGGGTCTAAAAAATCGAAGACACATAAGTGAACTATCCGATCAAATCCTTGTCGACTGCAGAAAAGAGCCCAACCCTTTAGGAAAGCAAAGTACAACCAAAACGCAAGATTAAGCCAGTGCTCACCTCCAAGTATGCCAAAATTCATGGATAATCGAATATGGATTCTAAAGTGTACTGTGTGCGACATGGTTCTGCTACCATTTGAGATTGACATTTTGTTTCTATGTTCGAAATACCGTGAAAGACTTTTGCGTTGTAATTTATATTTAATTTATTGTTCTAGGGTTTTCAAGGTACAGAAGAGAGCCATCGAAGGAGCACCACATGTTGGATTTACGTTAGTATGTGGATCCAAGGTAGCATATATATATGTGAATGTCAAATTACAGAGCAAAGCGGAGTTGCACACTGAGTTGAGTCACCAAGAAGCGCTTTTATTTTTTGCCGTCCTTGCAAGACGAATATTCACAGAACTGTTGTGACCTGAGAACAGATGTCAAAATTGCTGAAAAACTAGTTTTCCTACATAGCAAGCGCGCTGCTAGGTGAAAATATTCTTAGAGTCTTAGGTATTCTTAGGTATACTTAGCTTGAGCACCAAATCTTAGCGGAAGGATTTCTCTTCACGGCTCTGGGTAACTCACAGATAGATATAGAAAGCTCTAAATACGCATAAAGTGCTACGTAATTATAACAGAATCCTCATCACTATGTGAGCAAGGGCCATGTTCAAGGTTTTGATCCATTGTGAGAAGTGGAGGGAAAGGACCTAAGTGTACATAATTACAAAAATCACTATGGAAGAGTTGGTTAGCATGGCAACTCAGCTCTCAGAGTACGTCGCGACGTTCAGGCCAACTTAAAAATTCTGTGCAAAGAAAACTACCTTTTGTGATGATAAGGAGAAGAATCCGATTAAAACATTGCTGCCCATTTCGGCAGATGGCCTTCCTCAGAACCTGAAATGGGTAACGCGATCTGCAGACAAAATGGGCAAAGCTGAGGCTAGAATTCAATTACTAACTCGGCTGGCAACATCTATTCGAACTCACTTTTGTGTTAAGTCGGAGATTATGCGAGAGCGACTTAACTACGGTTCGCATAAAAGGCCGAGCATACTTCACGCTATTTGGCAATATTCCAGCTTCCATAATTGTAAGCATATTTTAAATGTAAAAATGTCGTTCATTCCGTCAATCCACGTAAGTTATACACATATACACACTATGCATGTGCAGTTTGCCAGTGTTGGATCTCAAGACTTCTGGCAAATTGCCAAATCGCGTCGCGGTGAAATATGCCTGGCCTCAAGAGATCATTCATCATGCTAGAGAATGAAATTAGCAGAGTTGACTTAAACAATGGGGGGTGGGGGCGAGTTTTAAGCGTGATTGCCACGTATACCTCTGCGAATCATCTTGTGATTCTTTGCTGAACAAAACGTTTTCAAGAATTCGCTGATAATAGGATCCGTGAGATTTGGCGAAACCCGATAAATTGCCAATGCCATACTGTTTCGACTATGTATTCTCCGCCGCCGTCCTTGTGAGAGTTGGATGCTCGGTGGCCATGCACTCCTTGCCTTGCCCTCAAAGCAGATTTCGCAATTTGCCGAAATGCTGATGCGATCTTAGGGTTGTTTCAGACTGCCGCACTGACTGCAGCAGACTGCAGCAGACTGCAGCTGACTGCACTGACTGCAGCAGACTGCAGCAGACTGCAGCTGACTGCAGCTGACCGCACTGACCGCACTGACCACACTGACCGCACCGGTCGCAGCCTCTTTTCTTGAAAGAAAAAACAACCGCGATTATCAAAACAGAGTGATTTGCTCATAAGAAGATCATAAGTTCCATCAGAATTCTTCTCAATCAAATTTTGGCGATAGTTTTCTTTTGTATGTTCGTATTTGTTCTAATTCTTCCTATCATTGCATATACCTGTTTTGTAACACTCTAAACCTTGTTGTCTTTTGCTTTTACGTATATATTGTTGTTGTTTGTTTAAAACACAACTGTTTATCCTCTCCGCTTGCAGGCTTCAGCCGCTGCGGTCGTTGCGGTCAGTGCGGTCAGCTGCAGTCTGCTGCAGTCTGCTGCAGTCTGCTGCAGTCTGCTGCAGTCTGCTGCAGTCAGTGCAGTCAGCTGCAGTCTGCTGCAGTCTGCTGCGGTCAGTGCAGACTGCTGCAGTCAGTGCGGCAGTATGAAACAACCCTTAGGGTTGGGTCAGACTGCGCTGGGAAAGCGGCTATGCCGCGTACTCTCCTATGACAAAACGTACCGAGCATAGGCTGCGTAAGCCTATGCCGCTTCCCAGCGAAGTCTGGCTTAACCCTGAATGCTAGATTGCAAACATGCTGTTCAAATTGCTAGGAAGCATTTATAGAAGGAACCGTCCTCAAAGTTTTAATTTCACCCGTCTTGTCGATGCCAGTTCTGTTTGCGCTATTTTGCTTATCTTCGAGTGAGAATACGTCAAGTATAAAAAATGTTCGAAAATCATTACAGTCGGGCTTCTTCGAAGAAGGATACACTTTTTGCAGTTGTTTGTTAATTAAGTCATGACACTCAAGTAACTAAGCTATTAAGTTGTTTACCCTTCAAAAGAAGTGCTGGTTAAAGGCAGCGTCCAGGCAAGTCTACACATACGGGGTTCTGATGTGGAAAGTAATTTTGAGGCCCTAACAAAGACACTGCCCAAACGGCAGCTCAAATGGTGAACTCACAGTTGAGATATTTACCTCCGAACAGGACCGTGGGATCGTATTCGCATGGATTCATGGCAACAGTTTCGCGCGAGGACCACGCACGTCGCGCAATGAACCATGCGAATACGATCCCGGGGTCCAGTTTGGAGCGAATATCTCAACTGTGAGCTCACCATCTGTGCTGCTGCTTGGGCAGTTTTTAGTTGGAGCTCAAGATTAGTGAGATTCAAGTGAGATCTTCATAGGCCCAAGTTTACTTGGACGCTGCCTTTAAGGCGTGGAGGACCTAATCTGAAATCGAACTGAATGAGCATTAGGCTCAAGAGCAATGTTTTTTTTTTCACTCTATTCGTCCTGTTCTAAAATTGAGCTCGACAATGTCGGTGCTTAAGAACTTTGGAAGCCAAATAGATGTAATAATCGGGTTTGCGAGACCAGCGAAGGCTGTCGAGCTGAATGCTTTGCAGGTGAATGAATAGACATCTTGAAGAGAACACAAAAGAGGGAAACAAAAACCTTTAAGACAATGTTCTAGGCATTGCTTGAAGTGAACTATGCGCTAACAAAGGCTATAAAACCGTGCGACACAATTGCAGTGTTTTCTGCAACTTCGCTCTGCTCTATGCTCTCTATCTGCTTCTCTTTTTTCCCCGCCAGTGTCATGTAGGTGTACTGCAACTACTATCGTTTACATTTCAGCTCAAATCTGCGCTATGGCGAATTGCTGCGGATGCCAAAATAATCATAAAGAAAGACAAAGAAGACACGAAATCTGTGGATCGTAGCGTAAGTTTATGCTCCCAGTGGTTCTATCATTTCCTTCAAGCAGGATAGGAAATATTCTGCTACTGAATCTGTCAACTTTTTACTTACATTGAAAACGCACTATCAGGCAGAGTAAACGTGAAGGAATATCTTCGTTGAGTGTCTGCTACTTAGGCTAGCTGTTTGGGTAGGTGCTAAAGTGCTGAGCTTGTGCCACTCTATATTCTTCAGAACTATTGGGTTAATCCAGAAGTTTGCAGCATTTTCATTTACTCCTCATTTTTTCAGTAGCGTTTGATGTAGGATGCGTATACCAACAAGGAGCTAGTCATGCTTGTTAGTGGTATGCTTACCAGTTTTCGATGGAGAACACATTTTTGCATATTTTTGCCGATTAAAGGTGGAAGCGCGTCAGTATGAAACAAGAAGATGGATTACTTCAAATAACCAATTAGACAGCGTGACTCCTGAAAAATACTTTCCGCGGAACGAATAGGACCTTCTGTACTGAAAATTGCTGGACAGGAACAAAACGGTTGACCATACCCTATACACCTCAAGTTGTTTGAACAAATACCTACTGCAGAAAAGATCTAAGGAACAGATATAGTAAGATTCTTGCATACGATACATAAGTTGGGTGGGGGGGGGGGGGGTCATTAGTATTCGATGCACTGCTATGACTTCGCCCACCAGATTGCTCCGGGGAACGAAATTTATCTACCCAGAGAGATATGCCGCCATGTAATTAGCAGGGGACATGAGAGGTCATGAACTGTCACGACGCTAATTTGCACCCTATTTGCACCGAAGACAAGCAGATTTTGCTAACAACAGATACGACATACAGTACATCCTACAGTGTACGAATTCACTGAAATTTAAATTCAAAGTTCAGCAGTGAAATTAGTCCAAAGGGTAAGAATTTGTATTTGGGGGCAATCTGCCATGCTGGTATCAAATATGACGGTGGTTTTGCGTGAAAACTCAAAAAAATTTTTGATTTCAATCTTGTTTTCAAAATCTGGCAAAAACTTGAAATTGTCATTTGAGGGCTTTCCATGATGCTGTTTCGAACATGCTAATGTTTTTCGCCGGAAACTTCGAAAACTTTTCTTTTATTGACTTTTCGTAAAATTCACTGCAACTTTGACAAAACTGGAAAACAAATGGAAAAGAATGCTACTTTCAGAAAGACTAAAAAAATGAATTGCGAAATAAAATTTGAAATAAGCTAAGAAAAAATTCAGTGAAGCTGAAACGAAGTTTGAAGAATTGGAAAAGATTCCCAACTATCTAAAAAATCGGTGTATTATAAAATTATTCTGAACACTACGATTAGTTTCCTTAGAGAGCAGCTACTGAATTATCACTTAATCCTTGAAAAATGATAGAGCACTTGCTTTTATCAGCGGATTCGAGGACTTTGTACTAAACCGTTATCATATTCGTAAAGAGCGCTCAAACTCCCAAATCCAAGATTCTATTCTGATTTGCCAAATATCGCCGCTGAACATTGATTTCAATCCCATCACGAAGCTCGGTTTCATTTTCTCGCAAAACCACCATCACATTTGAAACCAACATGGTAAATTACCCTTGAATACAAATTTTTACCCTAGTTGGACTAATTTCACTACTGAACTTTGAGTTCAAATTTCAATCAAATCACGGTTTCGTACACTGTAGAATGATGTCGTATCTGTCGTGAGCAAAATCTGCTTGCCTTCGGTGCAAATTGGGTGCAAATTAGCGTTGCTGACAGTTCATGACCTCTCATGTCCCTTGCTAATTACGTGGCGGCATGCCACTCTGGGTAAGTGCCCGCACCCGATTGCTCCGCCTTTTTGCACACCTTGAACGCCGCTTGTTTCGATTCTGATGGCATTCTCAGACGCTGATTAGACGATTTTTGAGGGTCAGATCCGCTGAGTTTGGAAAAAAATGGAATTGTGGAGGCAAAGTATCAGAGTGCTGCGCGCAACACGGAGCATACATTATTGACTAAAGTTTGATTGAGTTTTGCCGTTTCTTATGTCAAAATAGGGAAAAAGGGATCCAAAATAGAGAAAATAGGGATTCAAATTAAATAAGGATCCACATCAGCTATCTGCAATATCAATAGTACAGGACGGCTAATTCCTGCGATCAACTTCTTTATTAGGCCTCGGGTATGCTTCACGCAATCTCAGTGCGACGCGAATTAGCATTTTGCTAGATGTCTTCAAATGTAATACTCGCAGACCAGAAATAAATAGTAGGTATAACTTTCGCAGACTGACGGAGTGCCCTACATTATTAACATTCAGGTGTGCCTACAATGAGTTACAAACATTGGAACACTGCCAAACCGCGTGGCGACTGGAACCGCGTGAAGTATGTCCAAGACCTTAACGTAGTGTACACAAGTACCGCATTGAAAACAATTACTATCATTATAATAGTAATTGTTTTCAATGCAGTACTTGTGTACACTTGGGTTACATACGGCTAGTTTGGCTTAGGAGTGGGGTTAGTTCGCGACAGGGTTGTGCAATTATGTTTTATTGTCGGCTGCCCTCCAGAGCACAACGATCAGGTATTTTGAACTTACCGAACGCAACAACACCGATAGAAAAATTGGAAGGTGTTTGGATATACTTTACAAAAGGATTCATTTATCAGCATATTGCCATATGTTCAGTATCCCAACAATGAATTTACATTCGCTTCCAAAACTCTTGCCGACATGATTCCATGGGATGAGATAGACACAACACTGGCGTGTAGTAACAAAGCGGATGCTAAGTCACCAGTGACGTTGAACTTCGAACTTCAAGTCGACATAACGAAGATTTATGGTTTCAGGTAGTTTTTGACAACTTCTGTGCAACGTCTGCGATTTGCTTTCATTTCCATAAATAGTGTATTTAAGGCGGCGAGCAAGATACGAGTATTCGTTTGATGAGCCTTCTGTTGAGACAGATATGATTCTTATGATAGAAAACAGGGAAATCTACGTCAATGGAACGGTAACACTCTGTCTTTCAAAAAAATTGACCAAGCAAAATCACAAATTCAGTACCTCGCAATGCTATCGCCATTTTTCCGCTCACTACAGAAGTCCAAAAATGCGTCACTTTATGGAGAGGTTGCAGTAAGTTAGAAACTTTACTTGGTCGTGCTTTCTAGGATGCTTGTTTACAGTCTGAGACCATCAACGATGTTAGTGCCGATGATTTTTTGGAACTGTTACATGTGGTCTACCCCTCCGCCAAACCTGTAACAGGTAGACTTAAGCGCGACTTCTTACGGCTGTGAACTTCTGTTTTGTTATCATTTGTATATTTTTATAGTGGACAACGTTGAACTTTTATTGAAGCTTGGAGATCGTTATAATTTTGAGTGCGTACTTGTCAAATGTGAAAACTTCCTTGTAACACCAAAGGCAGATGAAATTGATGTCTTTACACGTCTGGAATGGGCGAGCCAATATGCTATGGCCGACTTACAGGTAATTTTTAGTTCTTTCTCATCGAGACATCATGTCTACATGTATCACTGGGCCCTCCCACTTCGGGTTTTAGATGGTCTCTACTTCTGCTGTTTAGAAAGCCAAAAATCACTTGTTAGCGATTTAGAGGAACTTATTTTCGCTTGTAAAATGTCAGAACTATCAAAATCAATCGGGGATGGTCGATGGTCTAGCGAATCGCTCAAAAACTGGTTTTAAAAGACCGTTCACCCAAATCCTCGATTTAGTTCTTGTCCTTACCTCTTGCTCACGCTGGGTCCGAATCCAGCCCTAAACTGAACGAAAGTCTCAAATTATTGAGTTTTGGATGCCGTTTAATATCCCAGTACACGAGCACGCCTTGCGCCTGCCGTCAGCCGCGGGCTAGCTGCGGGATCATGGCAGGGCAGAGACGCAGAGGAACGCTGTGTCTGATCTGATAAATTTCTTGATCTTTGCGCGTGAAAGGCGAAGTCACTGAATAGGGAGGAGCTCACTTAATAGGGAGGAGCCAGAGGTGCGATAGGTGGAGCCGGGCTCCCCAAAAGTGAAGGTGGTTCCAGCTACCACTGGCCGGCCAAAAGTGAAGGTGGTAGTGCCGGACACTCACCTCCCAAAAACTTCGACCGGGGGGGGGCGTTAACGTTGACTGAGCCTATCCTTCTAGGTCGTTGGATAGTGCGCGGAAAATAAGCAAAACAAACGCAGAAAAGATTATTGAAAGCATATTTTTATGTATACGGCGGCATATATGTATATTTAAAACAAACGTGTTCAGTAAATGGTGTGTTTTGAAGTGAGAGTCAGCGAGACTTCACAGATTTTATCATGTAAATTTTTTTGTAACGCACTGCGAAGAAAGTAGGTCGATCCAGGCAGTAACCGCTGAGAACCAGAATTTTGAATAATAAAATAACGATAAATTATGCAAAATTTCCACTTTTATGAATCTTGCGGTTGAAGATGTCAACAATTGCGACTTCATAGGTTTTAAAGGGTAAGTGTTGTTTTACCAGATAGTGAAAGAATCAGGTCGATCTGAGCAGTGGCCGCCGAGAACGAGAATTTTAAAAAATTAAGCGATTTTAGGTTACTTAGTGACAGCTGACGTTCGGACTCCTATAAATCTGTAATGTGAAGGTGTGCAATGTTGCGACTTCATAGGTTAGGTTGTAGAGTAAGAATTGCTCTATCGGACCATGTTTTAGCCGTACCGATCCATCAAGATACCGCCGAGATTCAAGCTCTCAAAAAAAAAACAGGTGAAAAACCGGTTTTTGAAATTCAGCAGCTCATAACTTCTTCAGAATTGCATAAATCATGTTGCGACTTCATAGGTTAGATTCTTCTCATCAAGAGCTTTCAGATGATATATAATATGTGGGGGTTTCGCGCCTTTCACGGCATATGCCCGGGGGTGGAGACTTTTCACCCCAAAGTCTCCACTGGCGGTCTCCGGCCAATACATTAACATGGGCGAGGTGGAGACTTTGGGGTGAAAAGTCTCCACCCTGGGTTAGAGCCGCAAAAATCATTGAACCCCCCACATACTATATATCATCTGAAAGCTCTTGATGAGAGGAATCAAACCTATGAAGTCGCAACATGATTCATGCAATTCTGAAGAAGTTATGAGCCGTTGAAGTTCAAAAAGCGGTTTTTTACCTGCTTATTCAAGACCCTGGATCTCGGCGCTTTTTCAATGGATCGGTACGGCTAAGGCATACTCCGGTAGAGCAATCCTTACTCCACAAAACCTATGAAGTCGCAACATTGCATATTTTCACATTCCAGATTTATAGGAGTTTAAACGTCAGCTGTCACTAAGCAACCTAAAATCGCTTAATTTTTTGAAATTCTCGTTCTCGGCGGCCACTGCTCAAATCGACTCGATTCTTCCACTATCTGGTAGAACAACACTTGCTCTTCAAAACCTATGAAGTTGCAATTGCTGACATCTTCGACCACCAGATTTATAACAGTGGAAATTTCGCATGATTTTTCGCTACTTTGTCACTCGAAATACTGGTTCTCTGCGGTTACTGCCTAGATTGACTTACTACATGGATATATGCTCTCAATACTTTCTTTTTCGTTTCTTTTGCTCATTTTCCTTCTTTTAATCTTCAGCAAAAAATTTTTTTCAAACCCAAAAGTGAAGGTGGTCACCCGGTACCAGCTCAAAAGTGAAGGTAGGCGGAGACTCGGCTCCATCTATCGCACCTCTGGGAGGAGCCAACGTGGCGAATCTTCTTCCAAAGGGCGGAGCAATTTTCTCGCTTTGGAAGCAACTTCAGATAGCGCGGCTTAGGCAGTCACACCGTTGAGGGCTCCGCTACTGCTTGGCTTGAGAGTTCATAGACTCCTTTTTGGGTGGACGTGCCTTTGACAATCTCCGGGGTCGAATAAATATGTGTACAAATTTTCGGCTCAATTGGTCCATGTATAACGCCGTCTATAGGAGGGATACATTGTACACGCGCACATGCTTTGTTTTACATACATAGAGATTATGAATTACAAAATTTTGTTCAATCACTCTCCACTGTCGCTTGCAGTTTTCTCCACTTTGGGCTTTTCTGAGATTCTCCTGAGAGTAGGCTGGAAGACTTTCAGTTTTGGCATCATTATCATTGAATTAGTGAAAATAAGTAATAGCATAGTAACTCGACTGCCTTTTCTTCTACTACAGATAGCCTTACAGGATCACTGCGTTTCAAAACTCACCAACGCTCAAGCTGTTGGCGCGGTGAAGAAGACTTTACTCTACGGATCACTTTCACACGAAACAAGAAAGCTACTACTAGAGCTTATGTTGAAATTCAACAATATGTAGATAAGACTTCTAAAAAACAGCTAGACAAAGACATTGTTATAACAGTTTTCAGATTTTCAAAAGCGTGAATTATTTTGTTTGTATAGGTGAGCCATTGCGTGCAGAAAAAGATCGTCCTTGCCTCATTTTGTGCTAATGCTCAAGCTTTGTTTATTCAAAATTTGAACCCGCTCAGTTGAAAATTACAGTCGTAAGTGACGCACATTTGGAGTGTTTCGTGCAGCTTTGGCACACCTTCTAGGCTGCTGCATGACGACGGCGCAATAACTTTGGGCGCGAACGCGGCTTTATTAGCCGCAGAGCGCATGAGGCGCAGGATTTACAACAGTGAAGATACGCGCGCGCAGCATTCGCGCCCGCTCAACTAATACGGCTTCTGCGCCTTCGTCATACAGTATAGCCTTTAGTCAAATAGATTAATCGTAGTAAGACTGAACTTTCTGTACGCTAACACCGGAAGTTTGCATATCTCTCATCGCGCAAACTGAAGTTGCCGCAATGTGCATACAGAAATCTCAGTCGATTTGCTTGACTTGAACCTTTTCATTTTGCCTTCATTTGCCCTTACCTTCAACCTTTTCATTCCTTCATGTAATAGACGCCACGCGTTTAGAAGCTCACTGCCCTCTATGTGATATATGTGATTTCATATTTTGCTCCATCTGACGTTAGAATTAGTGATCTTTTTTTGTTTTATGTATTTATTGTCGACTTGTGTAGCAGTATTGAATGAAATAAAAGTTGGGCTTGTATAACACGACAAGCAGATATGACCCGCTTCTGTTTTGTTGGAAATGGCCCCGCCAATGACAAACGGTAACAAGCAGACAAAAGCGTTCAGCGTTGAAGTACAGGATGGAGTGAAAAATCTCACCGTTTAAAGCTGGCCTAGCATGCAAACTTTAGAAGCATTTCGGATTGCTGCTAAGAAGTTTAAATTAACAGGAAGGATGGATGCTTTATCAGTTTCCTGCTGTTTTGCACAGGGTCATCACTTTGGAGCGTAAAAGTTGGGTCAAGACACAGTTGTTAGAATGAGTCTGCTTTTCTACCGTTTTTGCTATGTCTGAGGTGATACAAGTTGAAAGGCTTTGATCTGTTCCTCAAAAATGGCTTAGTTGCTAAGTTTTCACACAGTTTCACAGCAGTTTTGCACAGCTCTTCAATACACGACATATCTATGTGATGATCTGGCAGAGATGTGACTCCAAGTCTACAGCGAAAGATGAGCGGATAGAAGAAGAGGGAAAAAGAGAACCCATCAGGAAACTTTACAAGTACCTCTATCCTAATGTAAACGTCGGAAAATAGCTTTGAAAAGCTATGCAAAAGTACCACCAACGCAGCAAACTCAGCCGTATATGTCAAGACCGCTATTTTTCAAAAGAAACCATACGCAAAATGAAGAGACCTCAGGAAAGGAAAAGTACGATGTCTGCTATACTTTGGACCAAGTGGAACGATTATTCGTTATTCGGATAAATCATTCGAATGCGAATGACTCGAGAATTCGATATTACAAAATCTATTAGGCCCCGGTCAGACTTCACGCGACTTAATCGTCGCGATCTAATCGCCAAGATTTCCATTCATTTTCATTTCACATTCAAAAATTTCGTGCTGGAAAAGTACCACAACCGAATGCAAGTTGATCGGCATGGAATGATGTTGTAACAGTTGTCTCGTCGCGATTCAGTCGCGACGATCAAATCGCGTGAAGTCTGCCCGGGGCCTTAGTTCGAATATTATTCGATAGCCGAACTTTGAAAACTTTTGATTTCGAATATTACTCAATATTCGAATAATCGAAAAAAATCTGAATTTACCTAACTATAATGTCTGTTTCAGTCAACGTATTATTTGTGTGAATCTTGCAAACCGTTGAAAAAAATTGACACATGACATACACTCTCATTTGCAAACGCTTAGGATGCTATAAGGTAATCATGCAGCTTGAAAAAAGTTAATAGAGAGCTACCTTATAAACATCATTTTATAAGGAATGAAGTGCGGAACATCTATTACACGAAGGATCTGCAAAATTGCCTCAAATTTGAAAGCATACATGCTCGACTGTTGATATACCATATACTTAGCGTTTATATGAGATCTGCCCTTCATTTCTGCTGGATGAACTCATGGATTCAATGGAACAGGCAAGTTACTGGAGTATAACTTCATCAGCACGAATGAGATCAGAAAAGGAAAGATATTAACTTATCCCTTGATTGCACAACTACTTAACTCATTGCCTACTTTCCTGCCCGCAGACGTAGCAGATTCTGCGACTATTCTACTGTACAAAAACGAAGTTTCATGCATGACTACGTAATTTCGCCTGATCTCTTTGCTCCCTGATATGTAAACTAAACTGCCGACCAAAGTCATTGAATGAAGCAAAGGGTGAACAAGCAGAATTTTTAGATAGCATGGGAAGGTCGATCATATTTATGCCATGAATGGATAACTGAGCGTGTAAGTGAATACAATTTCATAGATTGGGAAATACTCTGGAATGTGCTCTCAAAGAATAGAAAATTTATTGCCAAGTTGTTTTTTTTCGCCGAGTTTACAGAAGTTCACAGTCAAGCGTAATGTTTCGTAAAGTTTCGACTCTTTGATGTTCTAACTAAGGCCCGTATGCACGTACATCCCCGCTGGGGAGGGGAGGGGATCTGCGAGGATGCATCATGTCTCGCTACTCTGCGCATCTTTCTTCACCTTTCTCTATCTTGCTTATGAAGTTTTTCAAACACTTATACCTGAGCATGATGGATGCCAGGTTACTTCCATACAAGATTGGTTTTTTGCCATTTTGTGTGATCCCCAGGGTATCATCTCTCATTTTCAAAGTCATTTATCTTTCTGAGAAGTCAACGAAAACGATGTAAAACTGTACTGAGGATATACTATGGCACTGCTAAGCATGTTTTCGATAGGAGAAATGGAATTTTAAGATTGTGAATTTTTCGATGATCCCTAGCTCGCGAGTTAGGGATTACCGAAAATTTAAATATCCTAAGACTTCACTTACTTCTACTATAAACGTCTTCAGCTGTGCCGTAGTATATCCACAGTACAATTTCACAGCGTTTCCATCGAGTTTTCAGGAAGTTAAATGGCATTGCAAATGAGACGTGATTTCCTAGGGATCCCCTGGAAATCCCTAGGGATCACACAAAAATAGTGAAAATCTAACCAATCATGCCAGTAAGCTGGCATCAGTTATGCGCAGGTATTAGGGTATGAGAACCTTCATGAGCAAGATAGAGAAGGAAAAAGAAAGATGCCTAGTGTAACGAGATATGAGACATCCCCTCTCGGATTCTCTCCCCTCCCCAGCGGGGATGTACGTGCTCACGAGCCTAAGGGCCGCATGCACTAACATCCCCGCGGGGAGGGGATCGCAGCTTAAAAGAAAGCTTTATATTTTGAAACTCCAGATACCTGGATTTCACGTTGTGTACCTATCCGTAAATATTCCTACTACCCTTCACTATGAACATATTGAACAGGAGTGAGAAGCTTTACGAACCGCATTTTCCAGCTTTTGTATGATCCCTGACGATCCCCGGCGCTTTTCTTTGAAGTCATTTTTCTTTTTCCAAAGTTAACGAAAAGTTTCCAAAGTTGTGCATATTATCTAACCCAACACTGCTTAGCATGTTGCTGATAAGAACAAGTGATGTATCGGATTCATGAAATTTGCGATGAACCACAGGTCGAAATTTGAGGTTTACCGAAAAATTCGACTTTTCAAAAACTCATTTGTTCTTATCAGCAACATGCTTAGCACTGTTGTGTTAAATGTTCAGTACAGCTTTGGAAAGTTTTCGTTAACTTCGGAGAAAGAAAAATGACTTCAAAGAAAAGCGCCGGGGATCATCAGGGATCATACAAAAGCTGGAAAATGCGGTTCGTACAGCCTTCAACATGTTCCTAGTGAAGGGTAGTAGGAATACTTACGGATAGGTACACAACGTGAAGTCCAGGTATCTGGAGTTTCGAAATATAAAGCTTTCTTTTAAGCTGCGATCCCCTCCCCCGAGGGGAGGTTAGTGCATGCGGCCCTAAGAAAAGTAGACAAGGAGAACCGCTCACCTAAGTGGACCACTGCTAGACTTGCGCGTTTTCCGAAAATTGACTGAAACCAGTGTGAATACTGTGTAATTTGCAATAAGCAGTTCCATAAGCAGTTCCTCACAGTTCCACGTTTCGCTGACGACACTGTCTTGACGACAAAAGTTGAAGATAAACTTTAAAATAAGATACATGGACTTGGGCAGTCAATGAGGGCCTCGCTAGCAGGTTTGAATGGATGCCCCTTTCATTGAGAATATATGTGTTGGAGAGTAGCATTTGTTGTTTTGTTTTGTGATGTTATTGGCTTGTGATCTCTAGGATCTATTGGTAATGTATTGACCTATGCGCGGGATCTAAGCGCTATGTAAGGCGCACTCTGCTAGCTAAGTCATTCGTTCGTCTCGCTTTATCCTCTGTTCTTATTCATATCCGGTCTACTAATAAACCTACTATTCTACAAGTGTCCTGGACCTACTACAAGTACAAGTGGAAGGCTACAACAATATGAATCTCGTGAGTTAAGCAAAAGATGGTTATTTCCGAAAGAAAAAACAACCCTCACAGAAAAATTGATAGATTATTAACCATCAATGAAAAGAAATTTGAAACACCTAGAACTAGTCAGTTCCATAAAATACCTACTCCTTTATCTAATGGAATACATAAATTTTATAGAAGATCTAGATACTTCAATAGCACGCCAAATCTCGGGGAAACCAAAGCCGCATTCTGTTGCTTGGAAACCTTTTGTTCCCAAAAATGAATTCGGACGAACTCACATAGAAGCAAGCACACACATGTACATACGTAAGGCAGCTAATGAGCATATAGCACGTGCGTAACATGTACGTAGCTCTTTTTTGAAACTTTACTTTTAGAGGTCCATACAATTTTTGCAGTGATTTATCATTACATTTTCTAATTCTACGATCTCTAATTCAGGATCAGTAGGTTTCCTCGTTTGAAAAACCACATCAAGTCGTAAATCTCGTTCACGACTGACTACCCAGTCGTAACTCATATACTTACCAATTCTGCTATACAGAAAGCATTCTGTTAAATTTTCGTAAAGAATTGCCGATGCGAACGGTGTGCAGTTGCTCATCAGTGTGCGCTATTAATCACGATCCCGACCGAAACTGCAAGACTAGCGAGCAACAGCTTTAGTGCCGTACACTGCCGCTTTGTATATATTTCAGATTTTATCAAGTACTTAAAAGAAGTGTAAGTATAGATTTATTGCTTGATTGTTCTCTATCAAACTCATTACCTGAGATTTTTCGTAATCTGGAGCGCTGGAATGTATCGCAATAGTTCATTGCAGATGATAGACCAGGAAAATATGTTCTCATAAAGTCCCCTTTCCAGGAAAATTTTGTGAAGCATATCAGTGCTGTTTGTAATTCCTTCTTATCGCGCAAACATCTCCTTAGCTTATCAGAATGCCATGCCTCCAAATAGGGACGCTCCAAACCAAACTTGCTAGCATGTTTGCGCAAATAAATAACTTCTTGGAAACATTTTGATGATTTGTTATAGTATTCATATAGATCTAGTTAAGTCATCTGCGGCTTGAATAGTGATTAATACACATTACTTTCCTACGGCACTGCGGTTAGTGATGCCGTTCTTTTTTACTTATCTTAGGCTCAAGCTGCAAAATAAAACAGAA